TACATACATACATACATACATACATACATACATACATACATACATACATACAGTGGGGTAAATAAGTATTTGATCCCTTGCTGATTTGTAAGTTTTCTACTTACAAAGACATGAACAGTCTATCTTTTTAAGGGTAGATTAATTTTAAAAGTGAGAGATAAAATATATTTTTTTAGTCCAGAAAATTACATTGTATAAATTATATAAATTTATTTGCATTTTGCAGAGAGATAAGTATTTGATCCCCTACCAACCATTAAGAGTTCTGGCTCCTACAGACGAGTTAGATGCTCCTAATGAACTTGTTACCTGCATTAAAGTTCAGTCCATTTATCATTAGACAGCTATTTTAAATTGTCACCTGCATAAAAGATGCCTGTCCAGAGACTCAATCAGTCAGACTGTAACCTCTACAACATGGGCAAGACCAAAGTGCAATCTAAGGATGTCAGGGACAAGATCATGGATCTGCACAAGGCTGGAATGGGCTACAAAACCATAAGTAAGAAAGTGGAAGAAATACAAAATGACTGTCGGTCGACATCATTCCAGGGCTCCATGCAAAATCTCACCTTGTGGAATATATCCTTGATCATGAGGAAGGTGAGGGATCAGTCTAAAACTACACGGGGCAAACTTGTTGATCTCAAGGCAGCTGGGATCACAGTCACCAAGAAAACCATTGGTAAAACCATTGGGTCCATAATGGATTAAAATCCTGCAATGCCTACAAGCTCCCCCTGCTCAAGAAGGCACATGTTCAGGCCCATCTGAAGTTTGCCAATGAACACCTGGATGATTCTGAGAGTGAATGGGAGAAGGTGCTGTGGTCAGATGAGACAAAAATTGTGCTCTTTTGCATTAACTCAACTTGCCATGTTTGGAGGAAGAGAAATGCTGACTATGACCCAAAGAACACTGTCCCCACTGTCAAGCATGGAGGTGGAAGCATTATGTTTTTGAGATGTTTCTTAATCTTAATGGTCCAGAGATGATCTGCAAAGAGTAGTGGACCAAAATTCCTCCTGACAAACCTCATCATCAGCTACAAAAAACCTCTGACTGCTGTGCTGGCCAACAAGGGTTTTGCCACAAGTATTAAGTCTTGTTTGCCAGAGGGATCAAATACTTAATTCTCTCTGCAAAATGCAAATAAATTTTTATGATTTTTGTAGGATTTTTTTTTATATTCTATCTCTCACTGTTAAAATTAACCTACCCTTAAAATTATAGACTGTTCATGTCTTGGTGGGCAAACTTGCAAAATCAGCAAGGGATCAAATACTTTTTCCCCCATTGTGTGTGTAGAAGTCAGCTGTTCAAATAATATTAGTTTTTGCAATAGAAGAACATATTAAAAATGTTCAGCTTTGTGTGTGTTTAGCCTCTGTCTCCACGTTGATGTAGGARGAGACATTATCATCCTCAACTGTACATATTCACTTATCATAGTTTATTGAGTCTTTTCCTGCTGTTTCTGTCACATTTGACTACAGAGATTAAAGGTACGTTAACTTCTGTTACRTCTTGTATCTCAGCAGGTGTTTTAGATCAGACTTTAAATGGTCAGTGTAGTCATTTTATTACCTTCAGCCRGTGAAAAGCAGGTGATAATGTTATTGTAAGTATGTGTGTGTTTGTGTGTGTGTGTGTGTGTTTGCCATCACACACTCTGAGTTCTAACAGATCAAAAGACTTTTGCTTAAAAACCTACGACTCAACGGCCAGTATACGTTCCTTTAAAGACGGCTATTTACATTTCTGTGATCAATACTATTGCAAATATTTTCTGCTTCTGTAACAAAAATAGTTGAATGAGAATCTAAATGAGTTTTAAATATTTTATTTTGTCCTTATGTTGCACTGCAGGATTCTAARGCTGTGGTAGCTCAGTGTCATGTAATCTTGAGTCTGCAGAGTTGACAACAGTTTATGTCTTGGATACAAATTTAATGCACGTAGAATATGTGTCTAGGATATTTTTGAATCTGCAAATGGATTTCAACAAGGAACACTGGAATACTGAGTGATCCAAACAAGGCTCAATTGCGTTAAAATTTAAAGTCTCAAAAACTGAAAAGTTTGTTTAAAGTTACAACAAAGAAAAGATAAATGTATTTTTAGTAGAACAGATATTTTTGAAACTGACTAAAACTTTAATGCAGTTGAACTGTTCTGCAGTTTTTAAAATTGTGAGACAACATTACTAGGAAAACAGAAATCCGTCTGTGTGGGATCAGTTTTTAATTTTTTTTTTTTTGTTGTGTGTGTGCAGGGTGTCATGTTTAAAGTAGTTAACCTAAGATAAAACTTTTAATCAACAAATTCTGCTTCCGTTCTACACTTCCTTTGAAATGAATATCACTCAGCAGAAATACTGATATGAGATCTGCATGTGTCAGCTCCAAACCTGGGAAGGAAAAGTGTTAGAAGTAAGTCTTTATACAACGACGCCTACAGAAATGGACAAACAACTTTAAAATTTCTAAAATATTTATATGCATTTATTACATGTTCATAGTAAATTTGCAGAGTTAAGAGGTGCAGATAGAAGTTAAAGGCTCACAAAAAGATGCTTTCAAGTCATGTCAGTGACAACAGATTAATATTAAGCATGTTTGTTCTCTGTGTTTTTGTTGTGTGGCTGTCTGTGTGATTTTTAATCATTTAAAAATGTTTATTTTATTTGTTTTTCTTGAGCTTTCATTGCTCCTTTTCCATCCATATTGGTGCCYACATGTTGGGTTCTTTAAAAGCATACAACTTGATAGATTTTAAATAAGCAAAAAATGTCAAGCTAAGCATAGAGGAAGAGAAAATGGAAATCTTTTGACTGTTTTAACTTTTAATTCTGAGCAAATTTTGTTACCAAGCTCATTCACATATTCCTTGTAGAATCCAGTTGTAGTTAGCTTCTGAGCATGCTCAGTTTGGAGAAATCAATTTTATTTTTGGCCAGTGCTGCTTAATTAAAGACTGATGTGAATTTATGTTGTTTTAACACAATTCCTGTCAAAAACCTTCATAGCTGACATAAGCTAGCTTCAAAACCTGTATTTTTCCATCAGTACATGGTTATTTACACAGTATTATGTGATTAAATTCAAACAAAACTATCTGTTGTGTCTTCTGGTATTTATATGAGAAGTGACTTTGGAATGGTCATTAAAAATAAAATATTTTATTGATGTAAAACAAATAAACAGATCTATTTTTAGTAGTCTATTTGAGTAGGGTGATCATGAAACCACATTCACAGGCATGACGTCATACATATACTAATTCCTCCAGGAAATTGTACTGTWGATGCTTTACAAATATAGAAATAATCCACAGAGAATGTTTTGTGTGAAGCTGTTTTTGATGGAACTGAACATATATGTGACTGTTGGACTTTTGGTCGGTGTAAGATAGGTGCCAATTTGCCACAAATCTATACAAAGTGTTTTCTAACAAGCAAAAGCTTGCTGAGAAATAAGTTGTTAGATGTCAAAATCTTAATTTAAGTTTGCTTTAGAGGAAACTTTAACAATGGGAGGCCCATAAATGCACAACAAATAGGTCCATGGATTTTCTGCACCATGTGGAGGTCCTTCCAGAACCAACCAAGTCCTCCAGGCTTCTCCCAGTTAAAGATGTGCTGGATCAGATAGATCAGCTTTAACCCAGCATCAGTCTGACAGATCTAGGGGATCAGATGTAACAGCAGTTGGCCAACTTGCTGCAGAAAAGAAAACAACATCTTTATGAAGTATTATTTCCAACCTGTTTTGTGTTTGAACCTTTGAGGAAATTAAAATTCATTTTTATCTTCTTACAGGTTCTATGACAGTGATGGAGCTAATGACTGCTACTCCTTTCTCCTTTATCAATACATCTGTTCAAACTTGGACTGATATTCCTCATTATGAAGTGTATGACTACAGCAATTTGAAATGGTCACTCAACATCATGTCTATGGTTTTTTACTCCCTGGCCTTTGTCCTCGGTGTGCTCGGGAATGGAGTGGTTATCTGGGTGACCGGCTTCAAGATGAAGAAAACGGTGAACACAGTTTGGTTCCTCAACCTTGCTGTGGCCGACTTCCTCTTCACAGCATTCCTGCCTCTCAGTGTCACATACACAGCTATGGATTTCCACTGGCCGTTTGGGAAGTTCATGTGCAAGCTGAACACCACTATTAGCTTTCTGAACATGTTTGCCAGTGTCTACATCCTTGTGGTGATCAGTGTGGACAGATGTGTGTCTGTGGTGTGGCCYGTCTGGGCCCRGAATCACAGAAATGTACAGAARGCTTCCAGTGTGAGTCTGTGTGTTTGGGCTCTGGCTTTAATCCTCAGCGCTCCGTACTTTGTCTTCAGGGACACCGGTCCATCATACCACAATGAAGACATCATCAACTGCTTCAACAACTTTGCTTTCTCTGACGACTATGAAACTCCATCTGTGATTCGGTTACGACTGTTTCGCCATCAGGCCATGACCATCACTCGGTGTGTCCTTGGGTTTGTCATCCCCTTCACTGTCATTGTCTCCTGTTATGSCGTCATAATCCATCGACTTAGCAGAAACCGCACCCTGGCCAGCCAGTCAAGTCGTCCTTTTAAAATCATTGCTGCCATCATCCTCACCTTTTTCCTCTGCTGGGCTCCCTTTCACATCATGGGTCTAATTGAGTTGGTGCATCACATGACAAATTATGCAAATGAAACATTTGGCCACATCGTTATGATTGGCGTCCCAATCACAACCAGTCTGGCCTTCCTGAACAGCTGCATGAAYCCAYTGCTGTATGTGTTCATGGGACAAGATTTTAAGGATAATGTCYGCAAATCCATCCTGAAGRTTTTAGAGACGGCCTTCCAGGAGGAGGTGTCTCGCTCCTACAYCTACACAAAYGCCATGATCACCATCCGAAGCAAAGACAAGTCTTTCTCTGAYRCCGAGGTGWAAGGTGTTCACTGATASAGACTTTAAACTGAACTATGTAAATATCTCTGGTAATGCAAAATTTGTTTTACTTTACAGTGCCCAGCCAAAATAACGTGTCCACCTGGTTTTAACTAATGTCTATGACGTGGGTTTGCTGCAGTTGGTCTGGTCTAGGTTCAGCAACAGTATGGGCTTAAAGAATGAGGTCAGTTGACCACCTGAAAATACTGAATGACCAGTGAAGTGGAAGTATTGTATATCTCTGGATAACTGCATATTTCCTTGACATGTTTCTGTTCTGTATCTTTTTAATAACTGCTCAGTGTGTATCTGTTCTCATAACGATGCTGTATGTACTTTACATCTGCAATCTTGTTCTCATCTCATACGGCCTATATAATTTGTAATTATTCCATTGGTCTCTGTATATCTCTGAYGCTCTTATTTGCTCAMGGACTCTGCCCRKATAWATAAATTGTATTTCCTGTCTCTCGTTAGGCAGTAGCTCTGGGGAGGTACCGCTGATTTGGACATTTACGGCGCTGCTCAGACCCTCCTCTATTAAATATTCTGAGACCAGACCATGCAGTTTCRCTTTGTGTATTTCCACATATTTCTGCCCTGATGGAATATTTTYCATTACAACCAGGTTATTCCATCAGTGGATTTTTTCTTCCCTGATGACACGGGCATATTCCAAGATGACAATGCCAGGACTCATCAGGCTGGGATTATAAATGAGTGGTTCAGGGAGCRTGAGACATTTTCACACATGGACTGGCTCCACAGAGTCCGTTGAGAATCTGTGGATGCTTGAGAAGGCTTTGCGCAGAGGTCAGACTCTACCATCATCACTACAAGATCTTGGTGAAAACTTAATGTAACATTTGATGAAAATAGATCTTGTGACATTGCAGAAAACTATCCAAACAATGACACAACCARTGCGTGCCATAATCAAAGCTAAAGGCGGTCCAACAAAAGATTAGAGATTGATTTTTTTTTTTTTGGGGGGGGGTGACTTTATTTTGGCCAGGAAGTGTATTTATTTTGTCTGTTGAGCATTTGTAGCACTTCACTATGCAGTTCAGTTTTGTGTAAAATATCTCCTTATACTTGCTGTTTTCTTTTCTTTTGCTTTTGTTTGATACAGAAGACGTCAAGATTTTGAGTTGCATCTATTATACCTAAAACTACGGTATATTACACAACACAAATAGTTTTCGGCCTCCTGCACACCAATGAAAAGAAGCCTGAAACCTGGTGTCTACAAGTTACTTCTGCATGTAGAACCCACACATTATAAAATGTGTTGCTCAAAGCATCAACAGGGTTACATCAAGTCCATCTGCCAACTCCTTTTTCTCATGACAAAAGTGAAACAAGTACATGACACTGCAACTAAACCCAGCTACGGGTCTAAACAGTCTGTAATTCAGGCATAACCATAAAAGACATACCCTGATCAAAAACAACACCAAGGTTCTTTACATTGGAACTAGAGGCCAAGGACAGTTTGATTTAATTCAGTAAATACATAACAGTGATTAAAGGTGCAGTATGTAACTTTTCTAAAAATATATTTTTAACATATTTGTTCACTCTGTCACTATCTCCTGACAGATT